AATAATTAAACGCTTCATCTTTTGTTTTTAAGAGATACACATAGCAAAACCTGGTGGAGTCATCTATAAACGTGAGGAAGTATCTTTTACCGCCTTTAGTCAAAATTCCATTCATTTCGCACAAATCAGAATGGACAAGTTCTAGAGGTGCTAAATTCCTCGCCTCAGCAGCCTTGTGAGGCTTGCGGGGTTGTTTTGATTCAACACATACATGGCACTTAGACTTTTTGACCAAATTGAATTTAGGAATTAAATTTAGATTTGCTAACCGCATAAGACAGTCAAAACTTGCATGACAGAAACGTGAATGCCATAAATCCGACTCATCAGAAATATTAACATAGTTCACCATTTTATTACACACATCATGCAGTGATAAGCGAAACAAGCCTCCGCAATCATATCCTTTACCAACAAAAGAACCATATTTCGACACAACACATTTATTCGACTCTAGAACAATTTTGTAGCCATCTCAACATAGCATAGACGCACTAACAAGATTCTTCTTGATGGAGGGCACATGCTGCACGCTCTTCAATGGCACCGTCTTTCCCGAAGTAAACTTCAGAGTGACCGTAACCAACACCAAGAACATGAGCACGCGACCCATTTCCCATCAACAAGGCGCCAGACCTCTCGACCTGGTAGGAAGAAAACAGAGAAACATCAGCACACACATGAATATTTGCACCACTATCCATCCACCACTCAGGTGAATTACATACTGAAAGAACAAATGGTAAAGAATTACCATACCCAGATGCTCCATCTCCAGTATCAGTAGTGACAACATTTGCTGATTTCTTTTCCTGCTTGAACTTGCGCTCAGGGCACTCACTTGCCCAGTGCTGTTCACTGCCACAAACAAAGCAGCCTCCATCTCTCTTGTTGTTGTTCTTCTTTTTAAACTGTGCTGTTTGAACAGGCTTAGTTGTGTTCTCTTGCTTGTTCTGGTTTTTCTTCTTTTTATACTTGCGGAATCCAGAGTTTCTCTTCTGTACCACATTAGCAGTAGAGGTCTCAACACTCTTTCCATTGTCTTTTGCTATCGCCCTCTCCTCAACATCAAGAGTACCAATGAGCTCTTCAACATTGAACTCCTGTCTTTTATGTTTGAGTGAGGTAGCAAAGTCCTTCCAAGAAGGTGGTAACTTGGCAATTATACCGCCAGCCACAAACTTGTCAGGTAAGACACATGGAAAGAGCTCAAGTTCCTTAGCTAGTGCCTGAATCTCATAAGGCCTGTTCCACTACAGATCGGTTCTCAACCATCTTGTAGTCATACAGCTGCTCCATGAGGTACAGCTCGCTACCAGCATCGGTAACTCCAAACTTTCCCACAAGTGCATCCCACAGCTCTTTCCCTGTAGGAAGGATGATATAGCTTTTCTGGAATTTTGGATCAAGTGCGCTAATCACTGCACCTCGAAAGAGGTTGTCATCAGCCTTAAACTTAGCCTCATCCTTAGGAGGCAAGTTAGCTGGTTTGCCCTCAGAGACATGATAACATGACATTGCAGTGAGCCACAATTCCATCTTAGCTCTCCAAATCAAGAAGTTTTTACCATCAAAAGGATCAGGCTTTAACACGGCAGCAAAACCTCTGACAGAAAAATGCCTATAATTAGGTTTTTGGATTGTTAGAATAATAGGTAATTTCCATGTCATTTTAATTCCATAAATTAACAGCATGATGATGACATATAAAGAAATATTAATCATTGAAATCATGATATCGATTATATCCATGGTGAAAATACATGCTAGATCATATATCATGTGAAACATATGAAGATAAAAAACATGTGAACTTGATTCATGAATCATAATAGAGAGAAACTGGCATGATATACATCTCATATTTGCAACAAGCATAAGGCTACATATGAAGCAACATGACTGTAAAAAGAAAACACATACGCAGAGCATATATTTGGCAGAAACAGACATAAGACATCTTATAAAACGACAAGACTGGACATATGAAACAAACTGATGGCAACATATGGAACAACACAGATGAACTGCTGAAACATGTAGAAAGTAAAACAGAGAGAAGATGAAACGATCATACCCTCCCATCCGCAATTCCGAAGTTCCAGCATTCAACATGCCGTAGGAGAAGAAAATGTTTCCTCGAGGAAGGCGACGCCGGCGATCGGGAAGAAGACGACGTACGGAGACGGAGACTCTTGGGCAGTCGCGTAGACGCTCCCCAAAAAACTAATTGCCGATCCCCCGAGCAAGGTCCCGAACGACAAGGGCTTCGGAGGCACTTGCCCTCTCGCTTCTCCGTGCGCGCAGAGTTACGAGATGAGGAAAGCCATCGAGCAACTGAATTGTGTTTCCGGAATGTGTTCTCTCTTTAACTGGAGTTGGAAGACTCGCAGGGGAAGCCGAGAGGCCTCGGAGGCATGCACCGGGAAGACAGAAAGACCCCGGGAGATCAGGAGTCAGGCCGGCTTAGAGTTGAAAACTCCCGTGGCTAGTGGGTGCTAAAAAGTTAACACGCCACGCCTGCCTGCCTGCCTCGCCTCGCCACGGCCCGAGCCCGAGCCCGAGCCCGGCCCGGGCGGCGGCGGCGCGCCCGCGCGCGTGTGGCACGCCTTTGTCCGTTTCTCAACTTCTCAAATTAGACGGATCAATTCCAATCATTTAAGTTGAGTCAACGTCTTTTTAACTTCCAATCCGGTACAAATAATAATACCCACAATTACAAGCCATAAAGTTATTGATTTATTAGATGTATAAATGGGCCTAGCCCATAATAAATCCAACACTCACAGAAGGCCGCCGCGCCTGCGAGCTCCGGTGAGACCATGCCCGTCCTGCCGCCGCGCCTGCAAGCTCCGGCCCTGGCCGCGCCGTCTGCGGGAGAGGCCGCGGGGCCGGCCGCGCCTGCCCAGCTCGCCTGACCACTGACGCGGCGCTGCCCCTCTCAAACCAAGCGCCTGCTGCCGGCCGCCATGCTCTGCCTTGCTCCGTTCGTGCTGTCACAGGCTCCCCTCGCCCGTGCAGCCGCGGCCGCGAACCCTGAACGCCCGCCGCGAGCTGTGCTCTGTTTTGCCCCAGTGTTCCTTTGCTTGATGTCATCATGACGTCATACGCGCTATATGACCATTTTCCTTTAGAAAAATAATCTCATAAATAGATTCATTATATTATAGGAATACACGTATACGTGTCTCACACTAACAGCAAAACTGAGCCATCCATCTCATGATCTACGACTGAGATTTAAAGGTCATCGTAGGCGTGCACAAAAATACATGACACGGTGCACAGACATATATCTAGTTATAGTAAAAAATAAGAATAAATATAGTGCAGCGAGGTTTTAAGAGACAAAAAAAGATAAAAAAGCTAAAATTACACAAAGCCTTCTAGCCATAGATCTATAAACAGGTGGAGTGCCGACTTTGCTAGTGCAAACTCTCTTCCAAAGATAGTCTTGCATCATTACGCATTATCCAAATAGCCCAACACATCGTGATAATGATTTCCACGAAGAAAGGCTCCACCTACCCTAGAAGCAAAGACCACGACTTCAACTAGCCAAGTCGTCTCTTGCCTGGCATTTCAATCCTCACCTCAGGCAGGGAGAACGAAGAAGCAGGAATCAGGAGAGTACTACAACTGCAGCTCGCAATAGCCAATTCTCTCTGGTATGTGCGTTATAGTTCAACCATGGTTATATATTCTTTTAATCTTTTTTTTTATTTCAAGACAATCCAACTTCAGTTAGGAGGTTGCTTCGTGACGCTCCTATTTGATTTTTGTGCAATCAATTCAGTTGCCTTCTCCGTCAAGCATGTGATGCAAAAGACAAGGAGCATACCATGAATATGGTGCGAACTTGTGATGTCCGGCCGCTGCAATTACGACTAGCCGGTCTGCAAGCTACTCTTCTAATCTAAACTAGACAAGAAGACACAACTAGTAGTTTCATGCTCCTACTAGTTCTTTGCTCTCCCTCGCGACTCGCCCTAGTGCTGCCACCGCCGTACCCCACTCCCCCCGCTTTCCACCACCGCTGATCCCCCTCCCTTCCCCTCCGGCATCTCACCGGAGGTCGGAGGGAGTGACCATCCATCGTTTTTAGTAAGTTTTATAGTAGATCGAGTCCTTAAAATTAGGGTCTCTCTATGCCATGTTTTTTTATATTGGAGATTTATCTTCTCCTCCTCCTCCTCGCCGGCGACAGCGAGGGGGCAGGGTGGAACCGTTTTCTCTATGGCGGCTCTGTTGAAGATGAAGACGACAACTACGGCGTCAACAACTTTATCAGCATGACGACATGGAGACTTTTCTTTCTGAACGGCGACATAATGGCTGAGATGATGTCGCCACCATGGAATAACTTTATCCGTTCTCTTCTCCGTTTTATTGTGGTTAGATCGATCTGGCCACAATGAAGGACTAGGGAGAATAAGTTTCACATCAGTCTTCCTCATTCTTCAGTGGCAGAAAGAAGAAGGAAGACAACACAAGAAAGAAGAAGATTCTTAACTCTGCTTGCAAGAATGTTGACCGTCATTCATTGAGCATCTGTTTTTAGACCTTTTGCCGAGTGTTTGTCTGTATGGTCATCCGTATCAAGCATCATACATGTTTGGTTTTGAGATTTGGAGCTATTCACAACACGGGTACAATATAGATGAAAATCGGTTTCTAGATATACGTAGTGTATTCCAAAGTGCTTTAACGTAATGATGTACCTAGCTATTGTTTAAAATAATTCTTCTTCGTCTAAAAAAACTCCTACTAGTCCTTTGCTACAATCTGCTGCAAATAGGGACCGTATTCTTCTTCAGTAAATCAAGGTACTAGTAGTACTTAATATACTATAAATACTCTAATTTCTTTCTAACTATCCAAGCATGAAACCTTGTTTTGCATCTATGAGTTCCATAAAACAAAATACAAATCTGAGTAAGTATAACAACCTGATGGGTGTTTTTTTTTCTTTCTAGTGGCAAGATTGTTGGACACTCGCTATGGCTGAGGTTAGTTTATCACACTTCGCAACCTCTGTTCTCCAGAACGTTGCATCCTTTGGCACGGAATGGGCAGTTAATGAGTCCAAGTCAGCCTGAAACGTCAAGAAAGAAATAAGAAAGTTGGAAAGATCACTGAGATCGATTTGTGCTATTCTTCAAGATGCCGAGAGCAAGCAGTCTAGTTCGCATGCCCTCCAAGAGTGGCTGGATAACTTGAAGGATGCAGTATACAACATAGATGATATATTGGATGATGTGGCTACCAGAGATCTAGAGCAAGAAGTACATAAAGGTTTACGTGCTCGATTTCGACATCTACTGGTTTCTCCGTTTGAACTGAGTCAAAGAATAAAAGAAGTTTGTGTAATCTGGATGAGATAGCAGCCAACAAATCACAGTTTGGATTAACTGAGAATCTAATTGATATCCCGGCAACCAGAAGAAGTAACAGAGAAACACACTCTTTCATCAATGAACCAAACATTATTGGGAGAGATGGAGCTAAAAATGAGATAGTTGCAAGGATTCTAGCCGCTGCAGACTCCACAAGTCCTTTGTCTGTACTTCCCATTGTTGGTTTAGGGGGCATTGGGAAAACTACTTTGGCCAAGCTAATTTACAATGACTTGCAGATTACCAACAAGTTTGACATGAAGTTATGGGCATGTGTCTCTAATGTATATGATCTTAAGAAGATCTTGGATGACAAAATACAATCAAGTACAGGTGCAAGCCACAAACAACTAAACCTTGAGGCACTGCAGAGTAGGTTGCGTGGGATTTTACATGAAAAGAGATATTTTCTTGTGCTAGATGATATGTGGAACGAAGAAGCCAGTGAATGGGAAGATTTGAGAAGCCTTCTATGTAGTGCTGGTAATGGAAATGTAATTATAGTAAGCACACGTGGTTCAAATGTTGCATCAATGGTGAAGACCTTAGAGCCATACAAACTAGCAAAGCTACCACATGAAGAGTGCATGGAAGTATTTTTATGTCGTGCATTCAAAGGTGACGAAAAAAGGGATGCTAAGTTGTTAAAAATTGGACACTCAATTGTTGAGAAATGCTATGGTGTCCCTTTGGCTGCAAAGACATTGGGTTCCCAACTATCAAGTCACCGAGCTGTAAGAGAGTGGCATTGCATCAATGAAGAGAAATTATGGAATGTAAAGCAAAACAAGGGTGGAATCTTGGCAGGACTAAAACTAAGTTATGATGCACTACTACCGCATCTACGGGCATGCTTTGCTTCATTATCCACTTTTCCAAAAGACTACAAACTTTTTGCAAACATTCTTGTTATGTTCTAGATGGAATTAGGATTGTTGGATAGAGGAAAGGAAAACAAGGACCTGATGACTATGGGACACGAATACTTTCATGAACTTTTAGGAAGATCACTTTTACAAGATCAATTTATTGTTGTTGACAATACTATAAGGCATTGTAAAATGCACGATCTTATCCATGATCTTTCAACTAAAGTGTCCCAAAAGGAACATGTAGTTGTCAGTTGTGAAAAACTTGATGTCTCTAAGAGGATTAGACACCTAGTGTGGGACCACCAAGACTTCTCAATAGAGATGAAATTTCCTAACCAGCTAAAAAGGGCTGGCAGGGTGAGGGCATTTGTAAGCAGAAACAATTATGGCACTGTGAGTAAAGCCTTTCTTGAAGGCCTTTTCTCAACTTTCAAGCACCTTCGTGTCCTAGTTTTTTCTGAAGTTGGATTTGAAGAGCTACCAAGTTCGATTGGAAATTTAAGGCACCTAAGGTACCTAGATCTACAATGGAATAGAAAAATCAAATACCTACTAAATTCTTTATGCAAGTTGGTGAATCTACAAACGCTCCATCTCTTGCTCGATGTGAGCAACTAGTGGAGCTACCAAGAAACGTGCATGGACTTGTTAACCTCACATACCTCAACTTGACTTCAAATCAGAGGCATTTGTTGAAACATGGGTTTTGTGGTTGGCCTTTGCTAGCAAATCTAGTATTGGATGGTTGCCTTGAGTTAACATCATTGACAGAGAGACTTGGCTGCCTGGCTGCCCTCAAAGAGCTACGCATCTTCAACTGTCCAAAGTTGGCTTCTCTTCCCTCTGCCATGAGCCACTCTCCAAACTCTTGGTTATTAATAATTATGCGGAGCTTGATCTGATGGAACCAGAAGAAGCCATGAGCGGGTTGTGTTGCCTTGGTTCGCTCAATCTTGTCGCTCTTCCAAAGTTGGTGGGATTTCCGGAGACCTTTAAATCTGCTGCATTCTCTCTTGAATATGTTTGCATTGACTATTGCAAAGGATTGGAGAGGCTGCCAACTGTAGTCAAAGACTTTACATCTCTTAAGAAAATCATCATTCGTAACTCCCCTGCGTTGAGTAGGAGATGCACGGTAGGTTCCGGAGAGGATTTTCATCTCATCAGCCACGTCCTTGAGATAAAGATTGATGGAGTGCGGTTTGAAAGGTATAATTATCGGTTGTGGTTGACTTGCTGGTTAATATAAATTCACGTTATTTTTTTTGCTTGCTTGCACCAACTAAAAACAGTACTGGTTTATCTTACTCTGTATCTCTGCCTACTTTTATGCACAGGAAGAGTTGAGAAGCCGACAAGTTCTTGCTGATCCCGATTCGTGGCAGGACGCCTTACGCCAGCGATGCAGGAGCTCTCGGCTAAGAACACACGCTTCCTGTGGTGTCGCTATTGTGTTTTTACCCACATGGTTGGTTGGTCCTTACGGGCACCATGCTTATATGTTTGTGGTCTTTCTCGTTTGTGGTCGTGACAATGGCAGTAGCAGTTCATCGTCTAAATAATAAGGTGGACTGGATAGAAAGTGGCTTGAAGTGTAATGTAACTTGCACATTTACTTGTTCCTTCCGTGGGTTGAACTATTGCAAATGCACTATTAATCTGTGTTACAGCAAACGACGTGAGCTTACGCAGCTTAGTATATGTTTTGTTTGCAAATGCACTATTAACCTCTGTTGGCATTGCTTGTTTGTAACATTTTGCTACTCTTATTGGTTAGCTTCTCGCGACCTGGTGCACGCATTTATTTGGGTCAAATAATGGGCCTCAGGGCCCCCAATGAAACTTAAAATGTAAGAAGTGCAATGGACTGGGTCCACATGCATATAAGGAGGAAACTAGGCCTGCCGGCTCCTTCTTCTTCGGTTACTGTTGTGCTGTGTCGCTGCTCCCAACCTTGGCTGCTTCCTTTAATTTGTCCCACCGAGCTCCCATGACGGCAAATTGATGATTGCTCGAGAGACTCTTCTAGCTAGGAAGAGGAAGATGCATGTATGAAAGCACTGCTTATGAAGGGTTCAAAATTTTGGCGAAATTTCGCAAAATTTGGTAATTTCGGTGGTGGCCGAAAGAAAAATCCGAAATTTTATAATACACTGATACATGTGTTATATAACTTTAGACTTAATTTTTTATTGTTTATATTGCATATTTTTGTATTCAATAGATTCATCAACTGCTATCAAAGAAAAATATTTCGGTGGTGGCAGGGTTCCATCAACTGCTATCTCAGAACGAAGCGCACTGGATAGTGGATACATCGGAGTAGCAAGCGGCGGCAGCTAGCGCCACTCCAACTACTACTACACCGCCACGCGCGGGCGCAGGCCGTCCAACACCTCGATCGGGCACGGCAGTGGCTTGGTCGACGAGCAATCGATCTCAACATGTGGCTTGGTGCCTTCGGCTGGTTCGTCCGTCCGAGGGACCGAGCACGTTCACCGCGGCGTCGTTGGCTATTGCACAGGGCCATTGGGCACTGGCCACATGCCCACATCCTGAATCGTGCGTTGGCCAAACAGTAATACTACATGTCTTACGTCCGACACGAGTAAATCGTCGGACGCTCTGCAGGCCCACTGTATTGTTACTTGCGCTTTTACCTCGTCGCCGCTCGCTCTGCCCATGAGTTTAGTAAAAAAATTCACCCATCCTTATCCCTTCCGCTTCCTCCTCCTCTGTCGCCGTGCCTTGCGGCTGTCCCGTCCTGGCGGCAGACACGCACTCCCCTCGCTGCTGCCTCGGGCCCCATCCGCCGCCACTCGCTCGCGCCCCATCGCGCGCGCCTCTCGCCCCTCCCGTCGCGTGCGCTGGTGCTGGTGGTGCTTGCTCCACCCGTCGCGCGCGCCGCCCGCCCGACTAACCGACCCAAGCCTAGTGTTGGTGACGCTGGTGGCGGTGGTGCTCGCCTGCGCCGCTGGTGTTGGATGCTAGTGGTGCTCGCGCGCCGCCGGCTCCCAACTTGATGGTCGGAATTGACCGGCACAGGCGCTCCCCCTCCCGTATGTTGCAAATATATGTTTCAAGTATTTCAGACGTTTCAGAGGTATGTTGCAAGTGTTTTAGAGACATATTGCAAGAGTTTGTTCAAAATGTTTCATTTGTTCCAAACATATGTTGCAAGCGTTTTCATCTGAATGTTACATATGTTTCAGACATATGTTGCAACAATATGTTCTAAATGTTTCATCTGTTCCAGTCTTCCGTTGCAGCAAGTGTTTTCTTGTAGCAACTTGCAAGTGTTCTATCTGTATGTTGCATATGTTTTCGCACATATGTTGGAAGTGTATTTTCCAGATGTTTCATCTGTTTCCAACGTATGTTGCATTCAAGTGTTTCATGGTGTACGTGTTTCATATTGTTCGGAGAGTCAGGGGCACGGGGGAGTGATGGTGGCACGGCACGGGCGACGGGAATGGGGCACGGCGAGCCGGTGGCCGGCGGACGTGGCGCGCAGCATGCTGGGGGCCGGCGGTTGGGGGCACGATGGGGCGGGGGTGCACCTGTGGGGCGGGGCGACGGATGGGGGCGAGTCAAGTCGAGGCGGACGGGGCGTATTGCGAGTCGTACGGACGCGACGACGGTGCGATGCGCATGCGGGCAGGGCGAATTAGTGGACGGAGGGCAGACTGTGCAGGTGCGTGCAGGAATCGGCCGTCCGACGGAATCCTATCCCATCAGATGTCCGGGCGCTAGCACGTCCCTTGGTTAAAAGAGCATGCTGCAATACAGCGAGCTCTGAGATAAGCATACACACTTCCTGTGGTATCCCCGCAATAACAGCGAGTAGGTGGATCATCTGCTCCGTGTCATGGCCATCGTCCGCGATGCAAGCTTCTATGGAGCTTGATGCTTGAGCTGCTGGGGTTCATTAATTAACAATTGAGACAAAGCACACGCTAACGCGTCTCAGATGCCAAAGCAGCGAATTATAGTGTGGAATTCTCGAAGAGCTCGCCTTTTTCCCCACTGTCGTGGTGGAAAGGCACACCAACTCGTTCATTTTACTGCACGAAAGATGCACCACTAACTCTGGGCGGCTGATGTCGATCATTACTCTCGCCACCTACGCGGAAAACAAAGACGACCTCAGCCCTCAAGTCGTCTAGGTTGGTTTGCCTGATCATGCGAGGTGCTGGATGTGCTCCGTCTCATGGCCGTTGATCCGCGATGCAAGTTTTCTTGCTGGCTAAAAAAAAGCTTTGATGGAATGATGGAACGAATGCTTGGGCAGGTGAGGTTCTTTAATTAACAATTCAGACAAAGCAGGTGCTGACGCGTCGAGTTGCCAAAGCCGCGAATTATCGTGCAGACTTTTGAAACAGCCCGTCTTTTCCCCCATTGTCGTGGTGGTAAGGCGCACCACCTCGTATATTTTACTGCACGTACGGAAAGATGCATCACTAACTCGATCGGTCAGCTGAAGTCGATCATTATCGCTAGCTCAAACCTCCTACTACACCGAAAACAAAGACGACCTCAAGTCGTCTCTTGCATTGCCCGGCATTTCAATCCTCAACGCCGGCAGGGAGAACGGAAAAGAAGCAAGAATTGCATCTCTCCTCAGACCGCTTAGGGGATCAGTGACTACTACTGCGCTCTCAGTCGCCGTTTCCCTGGTATGCGCGTCGTTACAGTTCAATCTTGATATCCTTTTTTGTTCAGAGAACCTAACCTTAACTAGAAGGCTGCTTCTTCGTGGCTTGCCTGTTTGATGTTTCTGCATTCAACTGTCAGTTCCCTTCACTGTCAAGCATGTGACTCAAAAGGCAAGGAGCACATCACGAATATGACGTGAACTGCGTCTCCATGTTACTCTCCTCATCTAAACTAGAAGACATGGAACCACTAGTAGTTCCATACTACTACTAGTTCTTTGCTACAATCTGCTGCAAATAGGCCCCGTATTCTTCTTCAATAAATCAAGGTACTAGTAGCATTTAATCTTCCATATATACTCTGTTTTGTTTCTGCAACTATCCAAGCATGAAACCTTGTTTTGCATCGATGAGTTCCACAAAACAAAATACATATCTGTGTAAGTGTAAAAGCCTGATGGATGTTTCTTTTTTGCTTTCAGTGGCTAGATTGCCGGACACTCTGATATGCCTGACGTTTCTTCGTGGCTCGCTTGTTTGATATTTCTGCAATCAGTTCAGATCCCTTCCCAGTCAGGCATGTGTAGTACTTAATCTTCTATACATAATCTGTTTTCTTTCTAAATATGCAAGCATGAAACTTTGTTTTGCATTTATGAGTTCCACAAAACAAAATACGAGTCTGTGTAAGTGTAACAACACGATAGATGTTTTTTTGCTTTGCAGTGGCTAGCTAGATTGCCGGACACTCAACATGGCTGAGGTTACTTTATCACACTTCTATGAAGACGTATGACAGTTGCAGGGTTCCATCAACTGCTATCTCAGAACGAAGCAAGTGCACAACTGGATACATCGGAGTAGGAAGCGGCGGCAGCGCCACTCCAACACCGGCAGCCTAGCTAGGTGCGCACGGGCCGACTGACGAGGACGCGCGGGCAGGTCCAACGCCTCGGGCTCAGTCGCTCAGAAGCACAAGTCTGGCTGGTCGGTGGGCACGTTGATCGCGGCGTCGTTGGCTATTAAGTATTCTATCCGGTTGTCAACTAAACTAACGCTGTTATTGCACGAAGACCGACATATGCTTGCCGGCCTCGGTGTTGCTGGATCTGACATGTTTAAACCAAACTAATGTCATCCTTCCCTCCGGATTCCAAGGGGTGTCACATGCTGAACTCGGTTGGTGTGGTCTGTACATCAGCACTTCCACTACTGAAATCTGAAGGTTAAGTTGTTCAGGTATTCATCCCTGCTCCTCAGTCAGAATCTCATTTCCTCTACTGATGCGTGGTTTCATGACAACTAATTAATCGCCCTTGCTCTTCAATCTTCATTTTCTGTGTATGAAGCAGGACTCGAACTCCGTTAGCTCAAGGCAGATCTATGTTATGGATCTCACTTTTTAACTCTGGATCACAGTTGACTCGTCCGGCAGAAAACAAAGACGACCTCAAGTCTTTGCTTGCCTGCCATTTCAATCCTCATCTCCGGCAAGGAGAAGAACCTTTCCTCAGACCGCCCATGGGAGGACTACTACCACGCTTTAAATGGCCAGGTTCCTGGTACGTGCGTTACAGTATAACCATCATTTTCCTTTTTGTTTCTGGCAACCAAACCTTAATTACAACGTTTGCTTCGTGCCTTGCTTGCCTGATGTTTCTGCAATCAAGTCAGTTCCATTATTCCCTGTGGCATGTTTTGACACAGAAGACATGGAGCTACCATGAATATGATGCTCCAGCTGCAAAGTTATGCTTGAGCCTTGACCGCTGCATGCTGCTCTCATAACTGAAAGGAGACGACAAGACACAATTAGTTGTTTCATACTTCTAGTTCTTTGCTACACTCTGCTGCAAATAGGCCCTGTATTTCTCTCCCATAAATCAAGGTACTACTAGCTAGTATTTAGTCTTTCATTAGTACTCTGCTTCCTTTTTGCAACTATCAAAACATGAAACCTTGTTTTGCATTTATGAATTCCAACAATGATTAGAGAATGTCTTGTGGCACAAAACAAAATACATATCTGTGTAAGTGTAAAAGCCTGATGGATGTTTTTCTTTTGCTTTCAGTGGCTAGACTGCCGGACACTCTGATATGGCTGAGGCTATTTTATCACACTTCGCAACCTCTGTTCTCCAGAAGGTCACATCCTTTGGTACAGAATGGGCTGTTAATGAGATCAAGTCAGCCTAGAACGTCAAGAAAGAAATAGGGAAGTTGGAAAGGTCACTGAGATCGATTTGTGCTGTTCTACAAGATGCCGAGAACAAGCAGTCTAGTTCGCATGCCCTCCAAGAGTGGCTTGATAACTTGAAGGATGCAGTATACAACATTGATGATGTGTTGGATGATGTGGCTACCAGAATTCTGGAGCAAGAAGTACACAAAGGTTTCCATGCTCGACTTCAACATCTACTAGTTTCTCCCTTCGAACTGAGTCACAGAATAAAAGAAGTCCGTGATAATCATGATGAGATAGCAGCCAACAAATCACAGTTTGGATTAGCTGAAAAGCTAATTGATTTCCCAGCAACCAAAAGTAGTAGTAGGGAAACGCACTCCATCATTGAACCAAACATTATTGGGAGAGATGGTGCTAAAGATGAGATAGTTGAAAGGGTTCTAGCCGCTGCAGACTCCACGAGTCCTTTGTCTATACTTCCCATTGTTGGTTTAGGAGGCATTGGGAAGACTGCATTGGCCAAACTAATTTACAATGATGTGCAGATTACCAACAAATTTGACATGAAGTTATGGGCATGTGTCTCTGATGTATATGATCTTAAGAAGATCTTGGATGACATAATACAATCATCTTCTGGTGCAAGCCACAAAGAACTAAACCTTGAGGCGCTACAGTGTATGTTGCGTGGGATTTTACATGAAAAGAGATATTTTCTTGTGCTAGATGATACGTGGAATGAAGAAGTGAGTGAATGGGAAGGCTTGAGAAGCCTTCTATGTACTGGTCGTAATGGAAGTGTAATTATAGTAACCACACGTGGTTCAAATGTTGCATCAGTGGTGAAGACACTGGAGCCATATGAAGTAGCAAAGCTACCACAAGAAGAGTGCACGGAAGTATTTTTCCGATATGCATTCAAAAGTGACGAAAAAAGGGATGTCAAGTTGTTAAAAATTGGAAAGTCAATTGCGGATAAATGCTATGGTGTCCCTTTGGTTGCAAAGACATTGGGTTCCCAGTTGTTAATCAGTCGAGATGTTGGAGAGTGGCATCGCATCAACGAATTGAAATTATGGAATGTGAAGCAAGATAACGTTGGAATTTTGGCAGCACTAAAACTAAGTTATGATGCACTACCACCCCATCTACGGGCATGTTTTGCTTCCTTGTCCACTTTTCCAAAAGACTACAAACATTTTACAGAAAGTCTTGTTATGTTCTGGATGGCATTAGGATTGTTGGACGGAGGAAAGGAAAGCAATGACATTATCAGTATTGGCCAAGAATACAGTCATGAACTTTTAGGAAGATCACTTTTACAAGATCAGTATATTCTTTTTGACTCTACTATACAGTATTGTAAAATGCATGATCTTATTCATGACCTTTCAATAAAAGTGTCCCAAAAGGAACATACAGTTGTCAGTTGTGAAAAATTTGATGTCTCTGAGAGGATTAGACACCTAGTGTGGGACAACCAAGACTTCTCAATGGAGATGAAATTTCCTAAGCAGCTAAAAAGGGCCTGTAGGGCGAGGACATTTATAAGCGGATACAATTATGGCATTGTGAGTAAAGCCTTTCTTGAAGACCTTTTATCAACTTTCAAGCACCTTCGTGTCCTAGTTTTTTCTCATGCTGGATTTGAAGAGCTGCCAAGTTCGATTGGAAATTTAAGGCACCTAAGGTATCTTGATCTACAACGGAATAGAGAAATCAAATACCTACCAAATTCTTTATGCAAATTAGTGAATCTACAAACACTCCATGTTGATACGTGTGACCAACTAGTGGAGCTACCAAGAGACGTGCATGGACTTGTTAACCTGACGTTTCTCTACTTGACTTCAAAGCAGAAACATTTGTTGAAAGATGGGTTTTGTGGTTGGCCTTCCCTGTCAGTTCTACAATTGTACAACTGCCTTGAGCTAGCATCATTGACAGAGGGACTTGGCAGCTTGGCTTCCCTCAGAGACCTACGCATCGCCGACTGTCCAAAGTTGCATTCTCTTCCCTCTGCCATGAGTCGGCTCTCCGAACTCCAGAAGTTGGTTATTCATAATTGTGCAGAGGTTGATCTGATGAAACCAGAGGAAGCCTTTGACGGGCTTCGCCGCCTCCGTACGCTAGAGCTCTCTTCTCTTCCAAAGTTGGTGGGATTTCCCGACAGCTTGAAATCTGCTGCTTCCTCTCTAGGATATATTTTGATCCACGATTGCAAAGGATTAGATAAGCTGCCAAGTTTCATCCAAGATTTCACTTCTCTTGAGAAAATTGTGATTCGTGACTGCCCTGCGTTGAGCAAGAGATGTGCCGTGGGTTCTGGGGAGGATTATCTTCTCATCCGCCACGTACGCGAGAGACACATTGATGGCAGAGTCTTCAAAAGGTATATTCTTTGTCTGCTCTGGTTTACTCCTTGATCAATTGTATTTACTGGTTGTTTTATTTATTCTACCAACCAAAAGGTCTTGCTGTATAAATCTTATCCCACACGATTTTTTCCGCACTGAGGATTCTAACTCCCGACTCTTTTGGCTCATTGCATGCGCAGAACCGCTTGAGGCACCAGCAACGACGTCCTAGGTACTGAACCGTGACTAAAAGGAGCTGCTAAGCACCAACTCTGCGAGCTCTTCGCCTATTATCGTATTATTCGTATATCGCTGTAGCAGCATCCTGTTTAGTGCTTCTGATGATTGTGGTCTTCTCGTCAAGTGATCGTGATACACTTGCATTTTGTGATATATAAATAATTATAATAAGCTGGACACAGCTACTTAAAATGTAACGTTAGTGCCACATTTCGTTGTACATACATGGTTGAATTTCTATGTTTTCTGAACAATTGTGCAAGTGGACAATTATTAGCAAATGTGTTGAGCTTGGTTACATGCTAGGCTTCAAATATTAATATCCATGAATGTTAAGATTTTGTTGCTTCACTGATCCTGGTGAGGCGTGGTTTTATTTGCTCTTGTGGCCGGCGAGCACCACGGGGCTCAGCCTCGGGCGGCACAGGGGCTGCTGAACCTGTGGCAGTGTGGCGTGGCCTCCTCGATCGGCTTAATTAACCCACTTGTCACTTGTGTTCGTTTGTGAGACGAGAGGCGCGTGGCATGTTTTTGCTAGCTCAAGGGAGGCGTCGATGCCGGCCGGCTGGCGGTGTGCGTGCTGCGGGCGCTGGTCAGGCCCAGGCTCCGATCCATCGGTGACAAACATGCGTCCTAAACATCGGTGACAAGCGTGTTAACGGTGTCAGATAACTTCAAGTCTTCGTCAGCAGGACATGCCTGTTTGTTCACAAGTGACGACCAAATGCTGCCACGTTGGTGTCGTGCGATTTGTTCACGTGCTCTGTCTGTGCGGAAATCCTATGTATCGCCCGCAAGGGAGAAAAAAAGTTTGTGTATCCTCAACGGTTAGACGTTACTGATTGTTGAGACTTACGGTCTCAGACAATGTGGAGGAGGTGGAGGCCTCCGCCCGCCAAACGCTGCCCTCGGGCTGAGGCTCGGGAAACAGACACGACAAGCGGGCGTGTAGAGAAATGGCACGTAAAACTAGGGTTTCATTAATTCATTCATCAACCTCCCGTACTGTTACAAGTGTACCCTATTTATAGGGCTCAACTACCACTTTTACAGAGTTTACAATAGTACCCTTCAACTGCTACTGTACATTCTCGGAATATCCCACTACTTGCCTTTCTTCTCGGGGGTAATCTTGTCTTGCCGCCCTTAGGTACTGAGCCTGCGCGATCAGCCGGCCCATCTGGCCTCAGGATTCGGCGATGGGCCTTTAGGCCTCCGCCCCTGGGACGCCGAGGCCCAGTATTGTCGTCCTCCTGCTTGGGTCTCTGCCCCTGCGAGCGGGGGCCAAACCGGCATGCCCGCGCCGTCCACGAGCGCCTTCCTCTGGTTACCTGCACACACACGTAGATAACGTTGGCACTTGATTAGTCTTGCAGCGGGGCAGCCTCCGCCCCCTCTGGCTGGAGACGCCTACGAGCTAACCGGGCGGAGGCTGCGCTAGGGTCACCGGTGGCGTCCTGCAAGCAGTCTGAGAAACCGTCATCTTTCTGGGTCTGGAGGCGTGGTAGCCGGGCCTTTGCTTAGGTAGTCGGTCGGAGACGTCTCTGCGAACTGTTGGCTGCGTAGGTCTCCGCCACTCTCGGAGGCCGTGTTACAACAGTTCCCCCTTTTGAGACCACGGTCCGCCCGAGCGTGTCGTGAACTCAAAACACCCTAAGCAAGGACGTCCGCGGGGGCGGAGACCGCGCGTAGTCACGTCTCCGACCGATCCCCGCAGGTTCCCCCCTGGCCTGCTCTGGCGTGGCCGCTGGTCTTGTCATAGTAGCCGTTATGCTGCAAAACTAGCCGTTGTCCTACGCTGTGGCTGTTTACATCGTATTGCTTTCCGTTGTATACCTTGCGACTTCTTCGGAGATGACCGTTGGGCGGCAGGCGAATTGTCCGGAGATGACCGTTGTACGGCGGTAGCCGAACCGCCCGCCCGCGTCCTATATAAGGGCGGGGTTGGTTGCGGGGTCCCCCCTCACTGCTCATTCACTTTCCTTGCCTCTGAGAAATCGCTCTCTGCTCTCTTCGGTTTCGCCTGAGCTGCCTTCGCGCGTTCCGTCTTTCCGCTTGTGTCTTCCGCCTAGGCTGCCGCCGCGGTGGCTTCCTTTTCCGCCTCCGCCCATACTCGTCGGCCCGCTTTCTTCGGACCCTATCGCCACCTTCTCGGCGTTAGGGCCGCCGGCTGGAGTGCGCGCTTTGAGGAGTGCATGCTTGCCTCCACCTCCGCGTTGGAATTTGAAAAGCTGGTGGAGGAGGATTTGGGGAGTGTCTCCGCGTCCGTCGGAGACCTGATCGCTACGGATTCCAGAGACATGGCGATAAAGTCATGGGATTTCTGCCCCTCCTCCATTACTGAAGAGGCGGTCGTGGAGATGTTGAAGGAATCGTATTTTCCTTCTTCAAGGGTAAAAATCCCTCCGCCCGGCCAGACCGTTCTGGAGCCGTAGGAGGGGTATGCGGTGGTGTTTTGGGACTTTTTCACCTGCGGCCTTCGCCTTCCTTACGTCCCCTTCCTCCGCCGGGTGTTGGAGACGTTTAACGTCTAGGTTCACCATCTGACCCCTACGACCTTCCTTACGCTCAGCAAATTTTGCTGGTCGTGTGTTTCTTATAATGCCGAGCCGGATGTGGACACCTTCTGCACGTACTACGAGCTGCAGAAGCAGCCGAAGAAGAAGAAGGAGGTGCGGGAGGGCAAGGAGGTGGAGGTGACCTACCAGTATGGTAGTTGCACCTTTATGTCGAAGAGGACCCAAGACGTAGACCGCCTGGAGCTTTCTTTTTGCCGGAAGGGCAAGTGGGACCGCGGCTGGCTTGAGCAGTGGTTCTACGTGAAGACCTATGGGGTCCACGGCACTACCGAGGATGGTGCGGAGGTCATGGAGTATCCATTGACTTCAAGAATGGAGGAGATGGCGCCGCATACGCGCGTGGATCCGCCGGAGGAAAAGTCTCCGGCGAGGAAGGCTTGCGACCGGGCTTTTGCGGCTGCGTGCCGCTACTCCGGGGGCCGCGACCTGGTGGAGGAGATTATGGCCTCCAACTACTGGCCCCTGGGCAAGGACAACCTGGCCTTCCGGCTGGAAAAGGTGAAGGTTCCTGTTTTTGGTCCGGAGGCCGGGATTCCTTTCCCCCGCTTTGGCCGGTCTTTAGGGGAGGGGGTGACGGAGGACAGCTTCATTGCCGACGTTGAGGAGGCCACCGTCGGGTTGGTTGGCAAAATTTCCTAGCGTGAGTACACATCTCAGAGAGCCGTGGTAGGCACCATGCCGCGGCTCAATCGTATTTTTGAGGAGCTCGGGATCGTCTACAGGGAGCGCGAGGTTCCCACCGAGGTCCTAGCTTCAATTGACAAGAAGAAGAAGAAGGCCTTCGCGAAGAATGTTACGGCAGAGGCTGAGTCCAAGAAGAGGAAGGGCGCCGCTGTAACTCAGGCGCCTGCAAAAAAGAAGAAGAAGACCGGTGCTCTGGTAATCGCGGCGGCCACGTCTTTGGCCGGTAGTGCTGGCGTTGCCTCCGCCGGCAGTGAAGACGTTTAGAGCTCCTCCGTCCCGTCAGTGGACGTGCGGGTCACGAGCGGCGAGGATCGCGGCTCTCCTGGAGCTCCGGTGAGCCCTGTGAGCGGTGCTGTGAGCGGTGCTGGGCGTCCGGAGGCCAGCGCTGCTCCGGCGTGCTCCTTGCACGGTGCTGCGAGTGTCACCGAATAGCTGGAGGCTAGCGTTGCCGATCCTATGCGTGACATTTTTGGCGGGCTGTATTCAAGTTCTGAAGATGGCGTGGAGGTCGCCTTGCAGCACGCTCCTTCATTTCCCATCGTTGTTGCGCCTTCCTCCGCGCCAGCGGCAGACGTCGGGCAGCCGGAGGCCGTGCTTGCTGAGCAGGCGCCGGTGGCTCAGTCTTCTTCGAGCCCTCCGCCCGCCAGGCCGCTGGCTGAGGAGAGCCGGCCCTTTGGGCTGTCGCCGCATGATATGGCGGAGACATCTGCCCAGGGGGCTCGACAGGCGGCCCAGCCTAGGCTTTTTATGAGTAAGTTTGTTTGGCGCATATTTTTGTGTTTACTGTCTTCGCCCGGTTTATTTGTTTATGTATTGTACCAAGTGCTAATACCTTGTACTTGTTGCTTTGTAGGTGATGTCATGGCTGGACTCCTCACCCCGGAGGAGCGAGCGGCCGCTGCCAGCGTCAGGTTTGGTCTGGGGCAACCAGGGCTGACGGCGCCGGGTCCGAGTGAGTATAGAGTGTTTTTATCTTACTCATCTTTTGGCCTGTTGTTATTGCCTATTTCTGATCGGCCCTCTTACCTGAGTTGTTGTTGTTGTTGTGTTTTTTTTGGCTACCCAGGCTCCTCCGACACTTCTATCTCAGGTTGGGAAGAGTGCTATCTTGGGGTTCTTGGAGACATCGGAATTGGTCTCTAGCAGTTGTTGTATTTATTGTGAGATTTGCTTTTCTCACCTTATTGTTTTGTGTTTGTATGTTCTTCTTTGAATAGATCGCTTCAAACAGCATCTGAGGGACATGGATTTCTTCCAACTTCTTTGTGTTCATCTAGAACACCAGAGCTTGGTGCGTCTTCGGTGGTTTGCCTTTTTTGGTGTATGTTCGCCTTTAGACTTGTTTTTGTTTCTATTGCTAATCGCCTTGGTCTTCTTCTTTCTGATCGCAGGGGTATCACACGGCCGTTGTTATGGAAGAGCATTGCACTCGCGAGGTCTCCGACCGAGATACTGCGATTGAGGCCCTCAAGGCGGAGAACGAGCGCCTAGAAGGTGAAAAAGGGGGTTTGGCCAACTCCCTTGCAGCTCTCCACCTTTCTCTGGTGGAGAAGGAACAAGAAAAGG